ATAATAAATGTCATACACTGATACCACGGGAAATGATGGAGAGTACGCGGAACAATTGTTTAGAGATGTCGAAAAATGAACTTGATTTAGTGATACTAAGTCACATCAAAGCTGGAATTATGAGTAACGAAAAGCTAGAAAGTGTATACGCAAAGCTTGCTGGGCGTAAGAAATATGGACAGAGACAGGATACAGAAGTTATGAGGCATAAAATTACCTTCTACAGAGTACCTGTTTGTCGTTCGTTTTTCCTTTTTGTACATGCGTGTGGGAAGAAGCGTTACGAACATTTAGTACGTGATTTTGCCGCACAGTGTGTAACAGTGCGCCAACACGGACTGGCAAATAAACCGAGTACACATCCAAAGTCATTTAAACCGGCTGACATCGAAAAAGCTGTTAAATTCGTCGAGTCTATAGCCGGCTTAATGGCTCTTCCACTGCCCGGACGACTCCCAAAATTTAAGGATTTTCGGATAATGAAACTGCCATCCACAGAGACGAAGTCCTCAATTTATCGTCCTCAGTGATGACGAATTGAAGATGAGTAATCGCAGTTTTCGACGGATATGGTCCAAATACATACCCTACGTTACAGTTATGAAACCAGCGGATGTTCTCTGCGATGTCTGCCGTGGTAACTAGCTCATTATTTGCTCATTTTATAGTTGTATCAAACGTTGACATTAAATTCAGTATTTTTTCTTTTAATAGGTAACGCAATATCAATTGCGCAAGCCAAAGGTGTTACAGACATTGAACGCGAACAGAAGCTTCATCAATTTCGTGATCACCTCCACCGAGCCCAAAATCAACGAGAATATTATCAAAGTTGGTGTGGAAATACTGACCCTACAGCAGTCGTTCTGTCATTTGATTTTGCCCAAACCGTTCCCTACCCTGTCAGTCCACAACAACCTGGTACAGCATACTTCAAAGCAACCAGGAGGTGCGCAGTCTTCGGAATTACAGACGAAAAACAAAAAGTTCAGGTTAGAATTTCAAGCTGAATCATAGGGAATCAAATTACTCGCCTTTACAGGATCTTACTTATATTTTTTTTTACAGTACAATTACATGCTAGATGAAAAAGATGACGTTGGTAAAGGACCGAACTGTGTTGTGAGCATCTTGCATTATCACCTGGAAACCTACTATAAAGACATTGAAACACTCGTTCTTTTCTGTGACAATTGTGTTGGGCAGAATAAGAATAACACTGCGCTATCATATCTGCAATGACTTTTGGCTCGGGGTCTTAACAAAACTATTTTATTAAATTTTCTACTTACAGGGCACATCGTTACTTCAGTATTTTAAAAAGTGAGTATGCTGTCAGTAACGTCGACACGTATGCAGATTTACTGCAGTGTGTCGAGGCATCATCACCTGGGGGTTATAATAAAGCTGTATCGCCTGAAAAAGTCGTCTGGTATGAATGGGACAGCTATTTTAAA